TAATATCGAATCATATTTTCATTGGTAGTTTGATTTAAGCATATGACTAAATTTAACTTTGTCAAACGAATTCAATCCACCGAACAGAAAGCACTAGCCATTGATTTCCCGTCTCTAATCGAAATTTGGAGAAGGAACCGTTTCATTAATTGTCTCGAATGTCTCACATTTTACATTTTATTGAACAGTGTGTCCTATTTATAAAGGGGTTAATAATGAAATGATCCTTAAATATGATATAAATTTTTAAAAAAATTGAAATAAAATTCCATGCAACAAGGCAGAGGAGTTATGATAACAGGTTTGTGTATCAAAGCACCAATATACGATATTAAATGAATACCTTTTTGATCATAAATCATATATATTTATCCATATATCGTCATAATCAAGACATCTTAAACTCACTTTGGAAGTTAATTTGAAAAATATTAACCAATGCAGTTATAGTAAAAACAGAGATCTGAATTCACAATTTCCAGTCACTGGAAGTATTTGAACTGAATACTCACCTCTTTATTCCCTCCTGAATTCTTCCACTTCCACAATGCCTCCACGTAGATATAAATTAATCAGTGGGGTTGATTAGTCTTTGCTAAGACTAAGGCTCTTGGTATCTAGACTTCAGTAAATGTGACTTCCTCTTCGTCCTCCATTGTGGATTCCATCACCGTGGGGAAATAATAATAGTAATATGAGCGCATCAATGAAGATTATAAATTATTACTGAAAAATGTACTCCTTTCATTTGTATTATATTACTACCAAAGAAAATATTCGGTCGGGTACGTTTATACAAAAAAATTTGAGAGCACTTTATTTAAGGCTTTTTTATGCATTGATCTGGTTGGGTAATGGTATTTCTCACATACCAACCAGCTTTACAGAATAATGGCTTTTTCCAAAACCCAGTTTTACCACGGGCTTACCTAAATTGGATGACTTTACTCCAACACTTTTCAAGGCGACGACAATGCAATCAAGCACATTTTAAAAATATACAAATTTCATAAACAGTTAACAATAATGTGGCAATTTACTTTTCTCATACGAACAAGAGCAGTTTAATCCAACACCCAGTGAATGTTATTCATACAAAAATTTCGATTACCAATTCCTCCCTAAAACCTTTTAGTGTTCACCTAAAGAGCGTAAAGTCATGGTCTAGCCACGACTTCATTGGATATCCGCAGTTTCGGGGTGCACAAGAGAGATTTCTGATGGATCTGTTTTCGGGTCTTAGAAACACAAGTTCCTTTTCATACTCTCAGGAAGTTACTCTTCCAGACCATTTAGATTACAAGCAAAGTGATAATAATATAATAAGACCATGATAACAGCCCTCAAATTGAGTAAAAAAGGTCTGGATGAAAGTTCTGAACATGCAGATTTTTGAAAACCACTGATTGGCGTAGCTTGGTGGAGATGTTATTGGTTATGCCTGACTACTCAGACACAACTTCACACCACTTTGAATACAAAGTAAACAGGATCATATTGGAGTTTCCTCGAATAGACTGAGACCAATGGGAGACTACGGAAAGTCTTTGAGAGCATATTAGATGGTATTGCTATGGACGTGCAGGCTCGTCTATATTTTTTTACAACCGTTATGACAGTGCTCCATTAAAAAAGAGAAACAAGTTTAACAAGGCTGATCTACCACGGTTGCGTTCATTTTTCATTCATCGGTGAAAATCGTTTGGCACTGGCCAAGACATTTTGAAATCTATATCATGGTGAACGATTCAAGAGTTCTGGTGGTGTTAATAATGCAGTATTCTTTCTCTCCTTTAGGTGCCATGTTTTATTTGACTAATCAAACAAGTATAATATTGGAAACGACAGTTGCTTGATATAGTAGACTTGGAGACAAATCGTGATGCAACGACTACGCTAACATTATTTTATTTATACCAAACGGCAGGCATGCTGATAGTTATCATTAGCCCCTTAGTTGACCTCAGGCTTCACAAATAGCCGGGCCATAGTAGTTTGAAGTGAGAAGTTAACTGCCAGTTAATAGACTTTTGCCGTATGAGTATACGTTGAACAGGGTGCATCACGTGGAGGTAAGTCTATCGCGCACCATACTACCCCAACATTATCTCTCATTGTCACAATTACGTGTTATCAATTGCCTCCGTTGATCGGGTAGAACATTAAGGATGCTTTTAGGAAAATATGTTTTGGTTGCAGAAAAATCACGAGATGATATCTGGTGATACTTTATAGAAGTAACTTTCATTTCCGCGGATAAGCCCTCGAGTATCTCGTGAAGAATTAAGGCATTATAAAATCGTTAGAGATGGCAAATGACATGCTTTGCTCCAAAATTTTCCAAGCCAATGACCTTATAATTTCGCTCAATTTTGATAATTTACGAATTTATGAACAACCAGCAATGATTTAACAAGTAAACTTTTCATCTTTTATTTAACACTGTCACAACTAACCAGAGAATTCTTGCATACTATAGAACGCTCTGGAAAGTATATCTGTGTTACCCACCGCATATTGAGCAAGCGTGGACCTGTATGCAGACTTCCCCACGATCAATATGCGTATAATGTAGCGTTAATTGTGCCGTATTTTTATAATTCTCTATGAACCTGATTCCCCCCCCCCCCCCACCACTCCCTCTGTTCTGCCACGTTGAACTTATACTAACTAATTTGGTGATATACGTATTATTATTTTTTCAAATGGCTTCGATTCTTGGCCAGTCGGCTATGTCGGAGAGTGCCACTGTCCACTGTTCCTCCTTTGTTTGAGCTTTAAGCTCGTTGTACCTTGAGGTATGGAATTCTCTTCTGATTAAGGACTTCATTGTGTGGAAAGACATCGGCCGGTCTTTGCCATGCAAAATTGTTGTCCTCTTCCTTAGCAAGTGCGACAGCAAGCTCATTGCCTTTAATGCCACAGTGACCAGGAATCCATTGTAGAACTTACCTTTAATGCCACAGTGACCAGGAATCCATTGTAGGACCACTGTTTTGTTTTTTTCTCTCTCAGAGGCTGATACAGTTTTTTACATTCCTTTATCACAGCTGTTTTGAGTGGCTCTCTGTTTCCAATTGAGTTTATTGCTGACTGTAAGTCCGAAAGTATCACCGCTTTGGTGAATTTCGTATTCATGGAACACAATTGGCATAGTGCTATCCTAATGGCCTCTATTTCGCCTTCAAAAGCGGATCTATTGGCGACAAACTTATTGGAGGAGACTTTACTAGAGGCCAATTATATGTCTTCAGCTAGTTGAACTTCTAAGAGAATTTCTATGGGTTTATTTATGTTGTATTCGCAATAGAAAAGTCCAGTTTTAAATTCATTCAGTTGATCTGCCCTCATGAGTGCAGGCTGTTTTGCATTAATGGATTTTGTTGCGCAAATTTGTGAAAAACGTCGTTTTATTTCTCTGTTCCCAAAATTGGGAAGATTTATTTGGGTGCGAATTTTGGAAGGCAATATTTATAAACGAAAATTATTTCCACTGAAATGGCTTTTTTCTGAATTGACAGTGTTTTAAAGAAAATAATTAATGGGAGGAATTTATCTAAGCAAGGCAATTAAGGCAATTTTAGCACTTTTAAGAAAAACATGAATTTGTTTATATTTAAACTCTAAACGATGCAACGGATTGCCACGCTAACAAGTCTTGGCCATGCTCATCAATCTCTATGCCAGATTTCCTATGTTTGGATAGGCTCCCAGAACTAGCTAATCTGCATTAAAAGCTACAGGGAAACAGACAGATCCCATGAAATACGTTTAGTTGGGTTTTGTATTACATACGAAACCCAATCTTAATATACACTTTCTGACATGATAACTACGTACTGGTTTGATCGTTGATTGGTTGTGAGGTCTCTGTCTTTGTCATGCTACAGTTGTATTCTCCACTACGCTTACCTTCAATGTATTGCTGATAGGAGACAGAAGGACTCATTTAAGGTATACTTTAAACACTGAAAAGATATAAATAGAAAATAAAAATTCTGGTTTATAAATGCGTCGAGATTCGATCAAGGCTAACGTGGCTTTTACTAACATTATTATTCTAAAATGTTTTCGCAAATAAGTCTGTTTTACTCATGAACCAAAAAATGCTAATAGGTGTTTGCTACTGAATTAAATCAGTAGAAATAAATTTCATCTATTCTTTAAATACAATTGGCTTTTGATGATACTATTTGCTTTTCACTGATATGTCAACAATAAAGTTCATGATACTTATTTTGTTATTGACCTGTGTTTCTCTGGGAAGCTTTTGACAATTAAAATGTCCTAAGCATAATCAGTAACAAGGAAACTCTAGGAGCAATAACTATTTACAAACTTTTCAACACAGAATCAGCATACCTTTAAACTGGAATAAATTTGTACGTAATAATAGTGAGCACCAATGATCAATAAGGCTTAGAGAAAAAATTTGGCTCATGACGGCTGATCAAAGCAACCTGGTAGACGCTAAAACACTAGAAAGGGCGGGTCCGTGAGTGCAAAAAAATTTCAATTTATCTAACACTGAGATCCTGTTGATCCCTCAACTCCTCTCTTGATTGTTCCAAATACACATTTCTGCTAAGCGCCTGGTAAACGACTTAAAGACTAAGCCACCTAACCCCAATCTACAACTAATCCGAAGATATATAGCCTATCATCGATTTACTAATTGAAGATAATTTCGTCTAATTTCTACCCTCCAAAAACGTTCATCCCAAAATTTCTATGTATGCAGGTTCTTCCAAATAAGGAGCGAGATCTAGGTAATTTGATAATTTTGCTAATAAATCAGCTGCTCACAGCAGCTAACATTCATCAAATCCTCTTTACCAACGTCTCTAACCGTACTTGATACTTCGTCCTACTAAATGCCTGACCATGCTGACCAAAAATAACAAAAACAAACACTTCATTAAAGGGAAACAAAAATTTATAAGTACAAAATATATACATATATAAACACATTAATTAGCTAAATGCAGATATGAAAAATCTCATTGACTTCTAGCAGCTCTCTGTTGTCCTAATTTCCAATCACGGAACATACTTTTAGCAGCATTAATCAGCGACTCCAAGTGGGCCGTAACTTGACAACGATAGGATCCATTCAACCCTGAACCTCCCCTCACGCCAGCATTTGAGAGTGTCGACTCAATCGACTCAATAAACGGTATCAGCTTATTGGTCTCAAAGCGCAGTAGACTATCGTGAATACGAATAATCTTCTCCGCCATCGCTATCGATGTAGTTGGCAAACAGACCCAAAAGTGCCTCAGTAGTTCTCCAGCAGCCGAGATAAGCATACTCAACTCTTTAGACTGTTCCGTAGAAAGAAGCATAAGGACAGAAGACGGAGTTCCTGCAGTTTTTTCCCCTGAAGCGGTCTTCCCTCCCGTTGTTAAACAACCACCGGCTGAAACATCTGCAATGGCTGACTGGACATCTGCGTAATTGAGAGTTGGTCGGTTGCCACCATTGGACACACCAAGGGAGGCCTGACAAGCTGCTAAAGCTTGTCTGGCTTGACTTTGGCTAAGACCCTGAGAGATTGGGGAGGCCTGATTAAAAGTAATGGGGTTTTGGAAGTAGTCCTTAGTTACAGAGAGGGTTATACTTTCTCGCGGCTTTTTACTAGGGTCTTCAATAGCAGCAGCAGGAACAGTGAGTTTACGCTTGAGGGTTCCAGAAGAAGCAAGATCTCGATAAGTTGAATCCATGGAGGGTTTAGCCGGTGCGGTCATAGCCGTATGCTTTGCCTGGGAGCGAAGAATAAGATTCGAGTGCTTGTTAAATCTGTGAATGAGGAGTTGGTTTGTGTTACCCCTCTGCTTGGAATTTGAAGGAGATAATTGTGATTGCTCTGGAAGATCTAGACCATAACCTTCACCGACTGAATGATCTTCGAGACTATCAAAATCCAGATGACTAACAGTTCGCATTCTCCTACAGCGAAGGAATTCGGAGTGCAGCATTTTTTCATCCACTTCATCACAGTCATTAAAAATGTCATCTTTATTAATAACTGCTCGATCTCTGTGATAGTAATGAGATTGAAAAAACTTATTCCAGAATTCTGGCTCTGTGAGTTTGTCAGGAACAAGTTCCTTGTGCCGCTGACGAACGGCTGGGTAGGCTCGGAAAATTGCATCAATAGAATCCTTGGTAAGGTTATAGCGTATACTGTTTGCCCCATCCATCTCCGGTTTGATATCACTGAGGAGACAACTTGATACACCGGCGACTTGAGGTAGTTCGGGAACCAAACTAAGTGAAATACCTTTACTGGAGATCCATTGTGGAGGCACATATTCATCCTTCGAAACACCTGACGCCACAGATTCCACAGAACCGATTGATTTGGCTTGTGAAAACTCCGGACGAGCCCAAAATTCCTCAGAACTTAAGATACCAGTAACTACTAGTTCCTTATATAAGGCCAATAAGTGAGGATTCGATTCCAGAATGCAAAATTTTTCATTAAGTTCAACATGAGCCTAATAAAAAAAGAAAAAATGAACAAAATGAATAGCGCATGATTTAATGACAATACTACTCACCTTATCTTTAAATTTGGGTAGCATCTGTTGCAATACTTCTTTAACTTTGTTACGTGCCTCAATTTGCTTTTTTTGGCCGGCGGGATCGGCGAAGTGGAAAGTAAAGGACTCGCCACTGTGCATAAGTAACTGCAACTGAACCTTTTCTCTGCTATCCAGACTAACGCGTTGCATTCGAATGTCTTCAAATGCTGCACTAATTCTGAAAGTATCGGATGTCTGATTTCGCCACGCAATTCTTCCAGAATTTACATACAAAGTTCCATCAACTTTTTTGTGACGCACATGTTTCACCATAAATAAGACATCCTCACTTTGTTTAGAGTTCTTCGACATTATTAATATATCAAAAATACGCGGAAGGTTACACGAGTACAGCCGCACACATTTGAGCGATTGGTTAATAAGATCAGAACGATCAAACATTAATTTCCAACAAAATAATTCATTCAACGTCAAATATACATTCAGTAAAACTGCTTGATATTATTATTATGCAATATTTCATACATCAATTTTTAACACTTCTCTACCAATTGTAAAGTTACTGATATATCTTTATGGTCATTCTGGAAAATATGATGAAATTTTAAAAGGATGAAAAAGACGTCGATATTCGGTATTTTATTCTCGTTAAGCAAAATGGTTCACTATGTATACAGATTATAATTACTAACATTTTCACAAGGTTCCAATAATGTAACAAATTGAGGGTATTATCAACTTCATGATTATTTACTGAATCTATATGTTCAAAAAGAATAAGTTATTAGATTCTGCCTTTTAAAATATGTTGAATGCCTTTTTTAAAATATTTGTTCGTTAACCATATCAACGTCATACTTTTGCTAAATATCGTTCAATTTTCACATTAAACTTCACTTTAAAACAAAGATTAGCTTAATAAGCTTGTGATCACAAGTGGCATTAACTAATACCATTATAATGATCTCCTACTAACTTAATTTGAGGGAATGTGTAAATAGAGAATTTCTTCGGTCCCTACATTGAAGATTCCTAGATTAGAATTATCTAGTACAGCTTTTTCTTCGGGCATATATATATTGACAATATTTTTTCAAATGTGTGTAATAAATGCTTGGAAATGCTAAATACGTTCAAATGTCATATGCAAACATTTATGCTAGATAGACTTTCCTCCACGTGGTGCACCCTGGGCAACGTATACTCATACGGCAAAAAAGTTTATTAACTGGCAGTTGACTTCTCACTTCAAACTACTACCACTCTATGCCATATTCGACTATTTTCACAGTACTCACCTCACCTTTTTTCTACCTTTGTGTTTGTCTCTTACATCTTTGAAACTCTCTTCCGTTCCCTCCCCCCTCTCGGCATTTTTCAATTTGATGTTCCTTCTCCTCTGTGGAGTCTGAAGTCAACTAAAGGGCTAATGATAACCACCAAAACGCCAGTCATTTGATATAAATAAATGTTTTCATGCGTATTATGGAGAATCAATTCATTATGATTTACAGCTGCTAGAAGACGGGAATGCAAGATGGAGTAAATATAAGAAGTTATCCTGAATATTTCAAATATTATTGAAAAGCATGTTTCAAGTTATTGAAAGAAACAATCGTGCCTTCTGGCAACGTCAGTCATGCCAAAATCGATGTT